CTTTCTTTCTTTCTTTCTTTCTTTCTTTCTTTCTTTCTTTCTTTCTTCCTAATAGCAATGATGAGTTCTTTTATTAAGTACAAAGAACATCTATGTCTCAACTGAAGAAGAATTTGGCAGATAGGGTTTATATCATAAATTGTTTTTTTTTATTTTTGAGAATCTCATGCATGTACATAATAAAATATGAGCACATACACCTCCATATTCCCATCACAAATCCCAGCCTGTGCCCCCTCCCAATGACATGTCTTTTCTTTGGTAACTCATTAAGTCCAGTTAGTCCTGCCAATGTGCATGGGTGTGGGGCCATCCACTGGAGCAAAGGAAACCTTCAAGTGGCCACGTGCTCAATTAGGAACGACTGTCCCTGCTGAGCCTGTCCATTGCCACTAGCTCCCCAGGAAGGGGCAAGTCTTGGAGCGATCTCTCCTACCAGAGCTTGTGCAGGGAGCCATAGCTGCTGCAACGTCGTGAGTGAAGCAGCCATGTCATGTCCAAGAGACAGCATCTCAGACCATTCCTTCCTACCCTCCAGGTTATGTTCTTTGGAATGGAATGAACGTCTATCCACAGCACTGCATCGATGGTGGAATGGAATGAACTTCCCTTCATAGTGCTGCATTTACCGTCATCGAAGTGGAATGAACTTCCCTTCGCAGCGCTGCATCCATGTTGGAATGAACTTCCATCCACAGCGCTGCATCCTCGGTGGAACGGAATGAACTTCCCTTCATAGCGCTGCATCCACGGTCATCGCCATTTCTTAAGCCATAACTATAACTGAAGTCAGTTTGCTTTATATTTTAAAACGAATTTAACTTTCAAACTGTGGTAATTTTTTTCTATAATTAAAAATATATAATTATATAAACCCAAGGCAAGATATTGTACCATTTTTGTGGACTAATGAGGCCACTAGAATTTCAGTGGATAAATAACTTTATCTAAGAATACAGAGCTAATAAAAGACAGAACGAAAGCCTAGCATACTTGACTTTAAACACTGTGTGGATACAGCTATGCAGATGATAAACCGTGTTTGCATCTAGGTCACTACAAACGCAGCTGCCACCAACACATGCAAGGCAATTCACTTTTAAAACTCTTCACTAATTTATTCAGGCATACAAAATGAAGTTAATTTATCATCATCGGCATCAGTATCACGCCCCATTACGTTTATGATCCCTTGATTTTCCTTCTCCTGAAATACTCTCATATACACAGAAAACCAAGAGCATCAGCCACATCAAGGCCAAGAATGATCCTACGAAACTCCAAGCTGTGAAGACATAACGTCCTGTTGCTAAGCCTCCATCCATTGGGGAGACGCAAACACCACCTTCTCCTGGAATAGTTCCAGTGAAAGTGAAGGTGCAGTTCCTCTAAAGTCCACTGTGTGCGACAGTGAGTTGATTAGGCTTAATTACGGAGTCATGGGTAAGAGGTTACGGGCAGGGGCAAGACTGACTTTAAAGCAGCCACACTGAAAGGCCTACACCCAGGAGGGAGAATGGCTCTCCCATGACTGTGCAGATGGAGTCCCCTCCTGTGATCCATCCCACCCGATATCATCTAGCCCTTCCCAGGGACCCCGAAATCACATGCAATTAGGGAAGAATGGCACACAACTGGCTGAGAGGGGTGGCTGAACACACAGGTGAGGGTTCCGTGACCCTCCCCACCTCCTCCTTCCATGAAGTCATGATGACCGTTAATAGCGCCTGCTGTGATGTGCTGGGAGCAGACTCAGCGTAACTCCTGAGAGTGATGGCCGTTCTGCTCAGAGGACAGCTCTGTATAACAGGTCTAACCGAATATTAGGACTTTTACATCCAACAGAATCACTAAACCATGATAGATCCAGTGCATGCCTTCAAGTCTAACATATAATTCAGAGCCACGCTGAGTCCTTTGCACTCATAGCCTTCATGTCATGAATCCCATGTAATATCAGACTTGTTCTACCATGCAATAACATAATACCACATGATGACCTGATGAATGCCAGGTGAAAAACGTGGGGATAGTTTCCGGTAAGAATGGCGGAAGTGAGGAAGTCAAAACATGCCTTTCAGTGCTAACTTCCCTTAATAGTCATTAAAAAATAGTAACAGAACAGGTGATACCTCAGAATCCCAGGATGATTCGTCCTTAACTTCTTTTTCTGTGGCTAATGTGTGTGCCATATCTGTAAAAGGGAGATCTAGAAATGTGAGATAGAACATGTGTTACTGTGAATTTAAGACATGCATATACATCTTAAACCATTGTTCATATGTCAGTGAAATGGCAACCAAAAGAAAAATATAATTTCAGAGACTTAAGGTGGTCATCAAAAGAAGTGCAGACCAAAAGAAAGCTACTGAGTGTGGATGGGTGTCATTTGGATTTACACAGAATTAGTCCTTTTGTACTTGCCCTAATTTTTTTTCCTTTACAGTTTTGATACTGCACCCGGCCATGTACCCCAGGATATCCTAGGGCTTATAATCTTCTGACTCAGCCTTTTGGTTTCTGGGATTACAAGTGTTTGATCAGCCACCTTTGATTATCTTAAAATTGCACTAAAGCTTAGAAATTCTTCATAGATATTGATGTGTTCCATTTAATGTTTTTGTCTCCTCCCACTATGTATGACAAAGTGTGAATTGTGCTTTTATGAAACTCTACCTTCATCTTCTTTGCTAGCCCTTGGCTCGGTTGCACCTTCCTATTAAAAGCAAAAGAAGAAGGACGTCACTCACTAAAATAAATCGGTTGTTAAGGCTACAGTTATTTTCTGTTTTATCCAACATTAAGCATAGCCCAATGAAGCTGAAGACAGAAGACAGATTCTGCTCTCTATTCAAGCTGAAACAGAGTCATGATAAAAATGAGATGAGCTATCCATTGTTCCTATAATTGAAATGATCATAAGGGGGTGTGGAAGGGAAGAGGCAATTCTACCTGCAAAGCAGGAGGAAATGCTATCCACACAAGAGTCATGTTGTCAGAGTCAGGGAGGGTACAGGAGCTGAGAAGGTCATTCTATGCCAGGGCAGCAAAACCCAAGCCAAATGAGGGCTGTGAAAGATCCATTCTTAAACTGGACCATGGTACCGGTATAGAATGGGCGGCTGACAGATGATCATAAACAAACCACAAACAACAGTGTGTTTTCTCCACCATCTTGGAGCTTGCTATGTAGACTATGCTGGCCTGCCCTACAAAAGACATTTTTAATGTTATGATTTTGCTGTTTCTGTTTCTTTAAAAATATGTCATTCATTTGATATCTGCCAAAGTTAACATGAAAAGAAAAAAACCCTACATATCACAATTCTATAAAATGGCTTTTTCCTGATCCATTCTTCACATAAAATGAAGGTAGACAGACAACTCCTGAATTTTAGTTAAGACTTTTGTAGTGAATTAAATACTGAATGACTAAATGAACAATACATTAATTTAGTTAGGCATTGAAGGTGATCAGAATCCACAATAAGAAACTAGTTCTGTACACTGAGCACTGGGGTCTGCTAACATACAAGGTTATGAAATAATGACTTATCAGAATCCCATGCAGGGGCTTGTATCCACTCACAGCTTCAACCATAATAACAGTGCTCAGATTTTTATCCCAACATCTTCATCTGTGAGGAAGCTCCACACATGTGTTTAGAAAAAAAAATTCAATTAAAATAAAGTTTAGCTCTAGGTTGCTGTAGAATCTGAGACATATTTAAGTTTTATAACTGGTGTCTAACACTGCAGGGGATAGCACCACATTCTTGCTCATGAAGACAGAGAGTCCTGATTAAACTCAGTGTGTCACAAGCAAAAAGGAAACAAAACAAAAAGATATGCTGGTGGAAGGGGGAGTTTGATGGTGGTAGGAAAGGGATAAGGGGTGGAGTATGTGTGACCCAAATGTGTTATATACATGCGTGAAATTGTGAAAGAATATGTTAATAGTTATGAAAAAATAAATACTAGATAGGGAATTATGGCATAATGATTGTTAGGTAAAGTATTTCCTTTTGATCTACGCTAACAAAATGAAAAAAAAAACAACATTAATTAGCGAGAAATATAGCTAGAAGCTAATACAGACCTGGAGCTGGTCATCTCCTTTGTCATTGAGCCTCCCTGGTTCGTGCACTGATTTCACCCCTTCAGCCGGCTCTGCTGACAAATGCACATGTGCAATGAGAGGCCGCTACCTAGAACTGTCCCTTAGGGAAATGAGACATTACAAAATAGAGCACGATAAACAAGGACCATTTCCATTTTCTCTTTGCAAGTGGGAAAGTTTAATTCAATGTTAATTTTAGCTAAATATATAAATATATTTAAATAAAAATATTTCTAATTGTCCAAATGTCTTATCTTTTTGGGGACACATTCAATACCATTCAGCATCAGGAAGATTCTTCCACAGGTAAGATGGCAGATTAGAAGCAGCCTCTGTGAGCTGCAGTCAAGGGGAAGAGTGGGCATGACTAAGAATAGGCTTCTAGCCAGGAGTCGGTTGGAAGCGTTGGAAATTGCAAAGAGGGTAAAGGAGTGACGTGCGCTGAAGGGAAAAAGGCATCATGCCTGAGTCTACACACTTTGTCTTTATTTTGCATTTGTTTGTTTGTCTTTGTTGCTGTGAGACTGGATCTCTGTGTACTCCAGGCCACCATGGAGCTCACTGTTCTCCTACTTCATCCTTTTAACTCCTGATCCTACAAAAGTGTTCCACCCTGCGCCCGGGACTGTCGTAACTGCATCCTAGCTTAGCAGACTTTCCTAGATTTTTGCTGGCTTTATTTTCATGGCTTTGATGACCCCCTTTTACACAAGGCAGAGTGTGATTACTGGGTGTGGCTACTAGTGTGTGGTTCCTGAAACACTACCTTGTTCTTCTCTTCCAGTTCCGGGTTCAGCCAATCCTTCCTATGAAAGATGAGAAAAGGGAACACACAACTGTGAAAACATTTATTCCCTCGCCTACTCCCCCACTACAACAAGTAAGTGCTGTGTTTACCAAGCCACAACCATTACTCAAACTGGAAGCAGAAGATGATCTTTTCCATCCAAGCTTAAGTTGAGTTATGTTTAGCAATTGAGAACAGAAGTGAATCATTCATTATTCCTACAGCTGAAATGATTATAGTGAGGGACATATATAAAAGTCAGTTTGGGCTGGAGAGATGGTTCAGTCATTAGAACACAAACTACTCTCCCAGAGGACCCAGGTTCAACTCCCAGCACCCATGTAGCAGCTCACAACTATCTGCAGCTCCAGTTCCAAAGGGTCTGACACCTTTATAAAGACATTACACTTTGGCGGTACACTAATGCACACGGAATAAAAATAAATAAATCACTTAAAAGATTAAAAAAGAAAGAAAAGCCAGTCCTACCTCTGAAGCTCAGGAAATGCTACAAACACAGGGTGATTTGTCAAAGCAGAGAAAGCAAAGGGAAGTGTGACAGCCATTCTGGACCAGGGGAGCATGAGCAGAGGGACGAGGCACAGGAACTTGGCAAACAGGGAATGGTGTGTTCGAACCAGAACATGGTTACTGGGAGTGAGATGGGCAGCTCAGACAGAGAATTGAAGCCACGCCTTATAAAAGGCATTTTCAGGCTACACTACAAATTTTTGCATTCCTGTGACTGGACTCTAAGTCCCACCGTCATAAATATACGCCGGAGAGCTCATCTCTCACCGGAGAGAAGGGGCAGAGTATATTTGTTATTGGCTTGAAAGCATATTCCCTAAGTAAGGCATGAAGAGTTGTCATCCAGCACGAAGAGAAGTTGCCTGTGAGTAAGAAGGTAGGCCATGTCAGGGAGAAGGGAGTCTAGTGTTCCCTCTGCTTCATTGTTTCTGCTCTACTTGTGTGGGGTGGGGAAACAAAACAGAGAATGCCTCAATGGAGAGTCTGGGAGGAGTCAGAGAGGGTCGGGTCAATATCTCTCCTGATAACTTCTTAAATTAAGGCAACTAGGCACTTAGAAGACAAATTAGAATAAATCTGTGAAGTATAGGAACTGAAATCTTACTCAGGGAAAGCATCATGGACTTCAGGAAAAGAATTATTTGCCATAAACAGTTAAATGCTGCAGTGGCTTGAATAAGAAGAGGCCCCAAAGGCTCATAGATTTGAGTGCTTGACCATTAGGGAGTGGAGCTGCTTGATAGAGATGAGTAGGTGTGGCCTTGTTGGAGCAGGTGTGTCACTGGGGGTGGGCTTTGGGGTTTCAAATACTCAAGCCAGGCTCAATGTCTCTCTCTGCCTGCTGCCTGCAGATCTGGATCTAACCCTTTAAGCTATCTCTCCTGAACTACGCCTGCCTGCATGCCACCATGCTCCCCATCATGATGACAATGGACTAAACCTCTGAAACTGTAAGCCAGCCCCAGGTAAGTGCTTTCCTTTATAAGAATTGCCGCGGTCATGGTGCTTTTCACAGCAACAGAGCACTGACTAAGACACTGTAAATGAATGATAGAAACCAACCAAGAATACTGAGATTTTGACACCAAAAAGAGAAAGGGTATATTAGGGAGTCCTGATATCTGCCACAGATGCCAACTGTGCAAACTGCATACACAGTCATGTGTTACCACACATGATGTTTACTTATTTAGAACTTTATTCTAATTTGTACTTCAGATAAAATATATTATTGTAAACCAAAAATTCTGTATGCTGCAGGAAAGCTCCTTAGTTCAACTGTGTTTCCAAAAGTTTCAATTTCATTTGTAAGTGAGGCTTATGCCAAGTACCTACTGTCCAAGCACTCGGCATTCAGAGAACACGAACTGAGAGGTTTCAGGTCTCCCTGGGCAACAACGCAAGGGCTCATGGCATTTCTGTTGGGCAGAAGGCATCTTTCCAGGGGCAAGGGTCAAACCTAGGCTTTGCACATGCAGACAAGTGCTCTGACACTAACTCCATCCCCTAAAGCTTGCTGTTGTGAAATAGGATCTCGCTCTGCAGCTCAGGCTGGCTTTGGAGTGGTGAGCCTCCTGCTGCCACCTCCTGGACGCCACGAGGAGAGACACGTGCCACCTCTACTCGGCCGAAAAGAGATTTTTATGTGATCATAGAATGAGGCACGGTCAAGGATCGCTACAACACGAGAAAATGATTTTTCAGTTCCCCACACGAGCACCATACCAACAATACCGGTTTCCTATTCCCACACATGGTGAGGCAGCCAAACATTTCAGGTAGGACCTGGTATTTAAAAGCTACACTTCCTAGTTGAACAAATCTATTCAGTCATGACCAATAGGGTGAGCTGCATAGACACTTTTGTTTCACAAAAGGAGAAAGAAAAGAGGAGGAATCTGAGTCAACAGGATTCTCAACTTCGTAAGAAAAAACAGAAAAGTTACATGTAAATATTGAAGAACTATGAATACTGGTTTACTGAAAAGTAGGAAACATGGGTTAAATTTTAGGTTCAAAACCCAGATGAGAACAAAGACAATGACATCATTCTTATGTCATCATTATCATCATCATTTTATTACATATTAAATGTCCTCATGGTTGTGGTTATTAAAAAGAGGGAAATTCATCTAGGTTTCTCATAAATATTTTTGTCACTGTGAATTTTCTGTCAATTCTGTTCTGCTCCCAATTTTCAAAATATTTATCATTCATTTTTGCATCTGCCAAAGCCAACATGTAAGGAAATGTTTACATACCATACAATGGGCATATAGTGAATATAAATCAACACATTTATATATTAAATAATGTATTTAAGTGAGTTGACATATAATAATGTTTACTTAAATTAAACAGCCCCAGAAGATGATCAGAATCCACAATTAGGGATTACTTCTGTAAACAGGGCACTAGAGTACGCTAACACAAAACCACAAACACAAGGTCTAGAGTCATGTCTCCTATAGGAATCTAACCAGTGGCCGTGACACACAACCACTCTCAGCACTAACTCTGTAACAATACGGCTCAGAGTTCAGCTCATCTTCATCGTGTGAGCTCGTTACACAGACAGAACAACAGGAAAGATTCAAAGAAAGCTTCTTCTAATTCCAATGGCAGCTATTATAAGTGACTATAGGTTCTAAGGTGAGCTTAACTTTTATAGCCAGAGTGACAAAAAAATAAATGCTGGATGTAAAATTTTGATAATAATTATAGTATTCTATATAAAGAGTAATTTTATTTGTCTCTTTTATTTAAGGTACAGAATTAGAGAGAAATATAGCTAGAAGCTAATACAGACCTGGAGCTGGTCATCTCCTCTGCCATCGAGCCTCCCCGGTTCTTCCACTGATGTCACCCCTCCAGCCAGCTCTGCTGACAAATGCACATATGCAATGAGAGGCCGCTACCTAGAACTGTCCCTTAGGGAAATGAGACATTACAAAATAGAGCACGATAAACAAGAATACCGGGAAAATAGAGAATTTTGTTTACTTAGTTAATATATATACTTTTAAATATATATATATATATATATAAAATGTATGTGGGTATTTTGACTGCATATGAGTGGACTGTGTGCATTCCTGGTACCTGTAGAGGGTGCCAGGGCCCCTGGAACTGGAGTGGTTGTGAGACTCTGTATGGATGCTGAAAATTGAAATTTGGTCCTCTGCAATAGTGGCCACCGAGCCACTTCTCCAGCTCCCAGAGAAGAAAGATTGAATTGCCTAAACTTGCCATAATTATCTAGGGAATCACTGGTTATCATGAGGCAGTGAACAGATTCTTCCACAAGGTTTTTGGGGCAGTTTGGAAATTACCCAGATGCAATTTTGTAAAACAGTCAGAGAAAACAAGAACCAATAGGTTCTATAGTGAAAAGCCAAATTTCAATGAGCAATGAAGATCACAAAGGGGTAAAACGGTACAAACATTGTAAAGAAATGGAGATTATGGTTGGAGCTATATAATTTATATTTAATTTAATCTTTCCTTCCTTCCTTCCTTCCTTCCTTCCTTCCTTCCTTCCTTCCTCCCTTCCTTTCCCCTCCCTTCTTCCCTTCTTCCTTCCTTCCTTCCGTCCTTCCTTCCTTCCTTCCTTCCCTCCTTCCTCCCTTCCTTTCCCCTCCCTTCCTCCCTCCCTCCCTCCTCCCTTCCTATCTTTGGTGTCCTGTCAAGGCGGCCCCGACACTGTGCTCCAGGATGTCCTTGAACTCCTGTCCCTCTAACCTCAGTCTCTTAATTCCTGAAATTACGAGTGTAATTCCACCTTTGATTGCCATAAAATTTTCACTGTAGCTTAGAAGATTTTCATAGACATCCATCAGCATCATTTTTAATGCTCTGATGCCCTCTTTCAACACAAAGCAAATTGTGATTTCTTTTTCCTGAAACATCACCTTTTTCATTTTTTCCACTCCCTGACTCTGTTGGTCCTTCCTAATAGAAAGAAGAAAAAAGAAGACTTCAGAAAATACATTAACTCACCTACTCACTCACCAAAAATGCTACTATGTAGTAAACCACAATGTTTACTGTGTCCTCAAATGCTAGGTAGCAATCCTGCATCAAGCTGGATGGAGAAGACACACTCTGTTTCAAATTACCAAATGAGAACAGAAGTGAATTATCTGTAATTTTTGCTTTGGAAATGATTGTTGCTAAGGATCAAGTTGTTACTTTGAAGCCAGGAAATGCTATAAACACGGGGTGCTTTTTATCAAGGTCAGAGGAAGGCAGATGTGTAGGCTGTTTTCTGGACCAAGGCAGGGTGAATACAAGATAAGCATGGAAAACGAGGAGAAACAGGCTATGAAAACTGTGTGCTTAAACTATAACATAGTTACTGGGGATGGCATGGATAGCTCAAACAGAATCCTGGCCAACCACAGAAGATTTTTTTTTTTTGTGGGCTAGAATATAAATTTCCCTTATCCTGTAATGGATATTCTATATATAAGTGGGTAAGAAGCCACTTTTCCAGTTGTGTAACAAATATGAACGTAATGTGGGAAGACAGGATAGAAACAGATATTTTATATTTACAGATTTATTCTTTGAAAACTTTATCATTGTGCACACCAGAGGAAACGATTCACGAAGAAAGTATGAAATGAATCTTTCACGTTTTGAGAGAGGGTCTTGCTACATAGGTTGGGTGGCTTATTTTTTCCTGTATAGCCAAGGTTAACCACAAACTCATGGCAATCCTTCTGCCTCAGCCTCCTGAGTGCTGGCATTACAGATGCACTATTGCATCATGTGGGGAATTACTTTTAGGGTGCCTTACTTTTGGGTCAGATGAAGAACTGGGAAGCAGAGAGCCACTCTGGATGCTGGCTAGTCTTCGTTTGAACTCAGTGTACCCACTCTCCTCCTCCATTATCGAGACACTTATGGAATGACAAATAAGAAAGAAGACGGGCTTTAGACGCTAGGACACAAGATCAAATCTCCTTCCTGTTACTCGCCAGATATAGACGGGTCATTTCCTTATTTGTGAGTTTCAGGTTAGCTATCAAAACAATATTTTGGGTAAGGTATAAAAACAGGTCAACGGGCTGGCAAGGTGCCTGCTGCCAAACCTGACAATGCGAGTTCAATTCCTGAAATTCACATGGTGAAAGGAAAGAAAGGAAAGAAGTTGTCCTCTGGCCTCCACTTGGACGCCATGGCATGTGCAGGCACTTTCCCCAAATAAATAAACAGATGAATAAGTGTAATAAAAAAACAGGTTGAAGTGCCAGAGCTTATTTTGATTGTAAGTTTATTTAAAATCCTTAAAATCTATGGGCTTTTGCTTCTATCTACAGACAAATAGAAATATGTAACTGGCAAAAATGAAAAATAAGGGATTAGAAAGTATAGCAGGCTTTCTTCTGGACTGTCAACAAGTTCCCAAATCATGACGCATAGACTTATTATTAGTTTGAATGTTTGGCCTTAACTTATGCTAGTACCACTAGCTCTTTTTTTTAAATTTTAATTTTTTTTAAATGATCTTTTCTCATTTTATATACCTATCCCAGTTCCCACTCCCTCCGTCCCTCCCACTCCCTCCACTTTCCCCCCACCCCACTCCCCATCCATTCTTCACAGAGGATAAGGCTTCCCATGGGAAGTCAGCAAGTTTGGCACATTACTTTGAGGCAGGACCAAGGCCCTCCCTACTATGTTTAGGTTGAGCAAGGTATTCCTCCAAAAAGAATGGGCTCCAGAAGGCCACTTCAAGCACAAGGGATGAATTCTGGCCTCACTGCCAGTGGCCCCACAGCCTGCCCAGCCTCACAACTGTCCACCACATTCAGAGGGCCTAGTTTGGTCCTGTACAGGTTCCCTTGGTATCAGTCCAGAGTCAGTGAGCTCTCACTAGCCCAGGTCAGCCATTTCTGTGTGTATCTCCATCACAGTCTTGACCTCTTTGCTCATATTCTTGCTCTTCCCTCACTTACACTGCTCTCTGGAACCTCGGCCCAGTGCTTAGCTGTGGATCTCTGTATCTGCTTCCACCACTAGCTCTTATAACTTAAATTAATCAGTTTTTCTTCATCTACATTTTGCCTCAGGGCTTTTTACCTTTCTTTCATTCTGTATGTCCTACTCCATGTCTGTCTGTCTGACAGCTACCTGACTGGCTGGCCCCGGGCATCTACCTTTCTTTCTCCCTTGTTTTCTCCTCTCTTGTTCTTTTCTTCCCCAGCCTAGATTCCGCCTCCTCCTTATTCTCTCTGCCTTCCAGCCCCACCCACCCCTCTACTGCCTAGCTATTGGCCGTTCGGCTTTTTATTAGACTAGCCAGGTGTTTTAGGCAGGCAAAGAAACAGAACTTTACATCATTAAACAAACTCAGCATAAACAAATGTAACACATCTTTATATCATTAAACAAATGCAACAAAAAAACACATATGACACAGCTTTACACAACTAAAGTAATATTCTACAGCGTGAAGAAATGTAACACAGCTTTACACAGTTAAAGTAATACTCCACAACAAGAGAGTCGAGAAGAGCTGAACGGAGCAAAAATAACCAAGAAAAGATTAGTCATCGAGGGGATAAAAGGCATTTCATAACAGAGGGGAACACTTCAGGGAGCGAGGCATGGCAATGGCATAGGAAAACCATACTGGGGAAACAGTAAGCATAGAAATAAAAAAATCCACTAAACTCATGCTTAATATGATTAACACTGTACTTAAGATTTTTTCATGTCTGTTAAAATATTCCCACTCAAAACTTTCCTGATCTTGTCTACATACAACCAATGGATCCATGGCTGAGTGAGAACTGCCATAAAGCTTTTCATGGTTGAAAACAAGGTCCCGAGACTTTAGCAGGAGTGGGAAGGGATAAGAGACAATGAAGGGAGGTGAATGTGGTCAAAACACATTGTATATTTATATGGAATTGTCAAAGAAAAAATAAAAATATTCCAAAAACCAAGCCAATAATAAAGAAAAAAAGGCCTTAGTACCACTGCATTGGTCAAAAATGGGCACACTTTCTGGGACTGGGATGCCCAGGAAAATTCCAAACCAGGCACTTCATGACTGAATTTTGTAGTTTGAACTGAACTGATATGGACATGTATACAGCATGTATACATTCTATGTATACATCATTCTATGTATAGGGATAAGAGAAAGCACAGAGAAACCAGTCAGACTACAGTCAAATCTGGGTCAGCTGTATGTCAGTTAGGAAGTCACGAGCCAATTACTCAACCTTTATGCGTGACATGACAGCCACCTAACTGGTATAATATAGACTACAACTGTTATGCCCAAATCTGCGAAGTCCCCTCAAAAGCCAACAAGGAGACCGAGTCCCACATATAAAAAGCAAAGAGCCTTTATCTTATGCAAGTTTGCAAGCTCAGTCTCTCCGCATGTCCAATGTATCGGAATAAACGGAGAGCTCCGAGCTCAGTTAGAGCTCGGTTTTTATAGTAGTAAAGGTGGGGCTGAGGGGTTTCTAAGGTTCAGGACCCCTGATTGGCTGACATTTGTCTAGGAGTGTCCTGGAGAGTGTGTTCTGGCAGGTGGTCCTATCTACAGCGGTTGGAATGTTAGGCATTTCCTTTGGATGGTCTGTTTTTGGGTGGTGCTCAGGTAATCTCAGTTTGTGGTTTTTCCTGCAGCCAGATAAAGCTTCAGGGTGAACTACTGAAACTCAGGCCTCCATTTAAATTTTTTGATGGCCAGTTCTACTCGGGCAGGTGATAATGGTTGGAAGGAAAGAACTTCCTTTGGGTGACCTGCCCATACTTAGCTTATCATGGCTGGCTCCCACAACAACCACAAAGACACTTTTCAAAGCTCTGGTAATGACCAGAACAATCTTAAAATCAGTATGACCTTCCAAGGCAAAGCATTCAAAACATCACGTTATTTTCTGCGGTTTAATCAGTTATAAATGTATGAAATCCTACCTTCTGGAAGAGTCCTCTTCAGTCCTTTCCTCCACTGTTAAAGACAAAAGCAGAATGCATTTATGGGCTTCAAGAGGACAATGGGACATTAGAAGTGTAAGACTCTCATATTCTATTAGGCGTGTTTCCTTGAGACTGAACCTGAAGAGTAGTCTAACATGAGTACTAACTATACTACTTATAGGCCATGAATGCACAAGAACTCTCTTGCTTTCTCTTTTGTAATTATCAAATGCAAGGAAGAAAATTGGCATCTATGAAACTTCAGTTCCATAAAGTAAACTGCAATGTGCAGGAACCGTGATACCATCCTGGCACTGACCAACAGTGGTCTCGTTAGCAGAATCTCTACAATACGCCAACACTGTCCACAAATAGTGTGATCTTTCTGAGCTAAGGACACAGGGACACTCCTAAAAGACTGCAGCTATTTTATTAAGACACAGCACAGCTGTTTCACATGTTCAATCAAAACTATTTATTTAGGATGAAACGCTATCACAAAGATACCGGGCCTATGGGTAATTGTACTTTGCAGCATGTCAAAACACAGGAAACAGATTGGGCACAAAGACCCTGGCAAAGACTTTCTAGTTGCCATGGTGACAACCTCAAGCAAAATAGTTAAAATCTCAGCAGGGAAAGGTGAGGAACTCCTGAGGCCCCAGCTTTGGTTGAGGAGCTACTGACAACTGATGTTTGCTGGGGGAGGGAGACTTGCTTTTCCTCTGAAATGTGCCCACTGGTAGGTTGCTCATGCCCTAGTAATTGGCCCCATACCTATGTGTATTTTGGCAGCACTAATTGGACTGGGTGGATTAATTTGAAAAAAAAAATCTCCAAAAGTAAAAGATGAGACCTGAAGTTGATAGGGAGATGTGTTTGGGGGGCTATGGTTGTTTGAAATAAAATGATTTCCATAGGCTCATAGGGAGTGGCACTATTAGGAGGTGTGACTTTGTTGGAGTAGGTGTGTTGGAGAAAGTATGCCTCAGTCTCTTTCTGTTGCCTATGGATCCAGATGTAGAATTCTCAGCTCCTTCTCTAGTATCATATATGTCTGCTTGTTCCCCACCATGACAAATATGGACTAAAACTGTAAGCCAGTTCTGATTAAATGTTTTCCTTTGTAAGAGTTGTTGTCAGGAGTCTCTTCACAGCAACAGAAACCCTAAGATGGAAGTTGGTATTAGGAGTAGGGTATTGCAGTGATAGGCCAGACCATGTTTTTATTTGGAGGAGTGTGGACTTGGGATTTGGGATTAGAAAAGCAACTGAATGCCTTTGGTGGGGCTTAATAGACCCATTAGTATAAGATTGGGAGATAGTATTGCTGAGGGTGATTCTAACTGTGGAGGCTTGGCTTAAGAGGTTTCAGAGGAGAAAAGTATTTGTATGTGTCCTAGAGACTGTTCGTGTCATATTATAGCTGTGGAGTCACTGGCAGTGGGGCTAGGATTTATCTCCAGTGCATTAACTGGCTTTTTGGAGCCCATTCCCTATTGAGGGATACCTTAATCAGGCACAATACAGGAGGGAGGAACTTGGTCTTGCCTCAACTGGATTATGCCAGACTTTGTAGACTTCCCATAGGAGGCCTTATCCTTTCAGAAGAGTGAATGGGGGGTTGGATGGGATAAGGTGGGGGTACAGTGGGAGGAGAAGAGGGAGGGGTAATTGTGGTTTGTATGTAAAATGAAAAAAAAAGCCTTTAAATAAAAAAATTTAAAAAGAGTGGGGAAAAATGTATCTATCTCAACCAATGAATAAACCATAGCACAGCAGCAGAGAAATATGAAAAAGTAAGGCAATACAACATCTCCAATGGTTTCTCAATAACCCAAATCAAAGATACTATAATGACTTACATGCCTAACTAAGAATTCAAAGGCATAGAGGTAACAATAATCAGCCGCGTCAAGGAGGACTTAAAAAAGCAAATGACTAAAGTAAGGAGGCCAATTCAGGTCCTGAATAAGAAACTTGACAACATAGATGAAAACTCAGCAATAAAAATGACATTTTAAAGGAACTAAAGAACCCAGAAATGTTAGAAATGAAGTCCAGTCAACCAAATTAAAAAAAAATACGGAGGAAAACATCATGCATAATTAGGTCAAGCAGAATAATAGTATCAGTGATAAAAACACAGCTTATAAACAACAAAGACAGATAACTGAGAATGACCACCATATTAAAAAACTCTGGGATATGATCAACAGATCAAGGCTCAGAATCTGTGGGGTAGAAAGAAGTGAGACGAAAACCAAGATGTAGAAAACTGTCTAATGACATTTTAGCAGAAAACTCCTTAAATCTACGGAAAGATATGGACACAAAATACAAGGAGCAATAAGAAACTCAAATAGACGTGACCAGAAAAAAAATTGTCCTCATCATATTATAGTTAAAGCATTAAGGATCCAGGACAATGAAACAACATCAAAAGCTACAAGAGAAAAGTCTTACCTCACTAAGTCAGTTCATTCCAGTAACACCAGACCTCTCAGAAGAAACACTAAAATCCAGAGAAGTAGGGAATGATATATTTCCAGCCCTTACAGTAGATACCACCCAACTAAGTAATTTTATACTGCCAAGTTATTTTTTCAAAATAGTTGGAGACTTTCAATACAACTGAAAACTTTAACAACTCATGAACAGTAAATCAGCTTTTCAGGAAATACCGAAAGGAATCCTACAAGAGGAGAAAGAAGACAGTTACAAACATGACCTTCCAAGAAGAATAAATTTCATGAGCAGAGAAATAACCAAATAAGACCCAGAAAAGAATCAAACATCTTGAACTCAAAATCCAGCAAGCCTCTATGATCAATAAGAGAAAAAGAAATAAAGAAACAATCTGGGCCAATTAGATTTTTTTAAACAGAAATTAGCAAATACTTCTCAGCAATAACCACAAATGTAAACAGTTTTGACTAGACCATAAAGAGATGGTGATTAGCAGGTTGATTAAGACACAGACCCTAACTGTAGTCTGCAATACAGATACACAGAGTGAGCTGAAAGGATTGAAAACAATACTCTATGTAAATGGAAAATAATACAAGCAAAAGTAGGCATACTTGTGTTTGGCATACTAGTTTTCATGCTCTAGATAATCATGGGAGATAATGCTTATATATATTAATAAGAGGACTATTACACCAAGAAGACATGATAGCCAATGTATATGCACAAACGCTGATATATCTAATTTCATAAACCAGAATTTGACGCAAAGAACAGATAAGCATGACATTATACCATGGGTATTCAATACCTCATTATTATCAATAGGTTGGTTACAAGACAAAAGCCAGGAAAGCAACCCCAGTGTTAACTTATGTCATAGATCAAATGTACTTAAAGACATTCACAAAATATTCCATCCATCCATGCAACAGCTAGGAAAAACATGTTATCCTCAGCATCTAATGAAATATTCTTTGAAATATATTTCACATTAGGCCATGAAGCAAGTTGCACAAATATAAGGAATTGAAATATTTATATCCCTTATCCAATCATAAAGGAATGAAACTGGAAGTCAATAGCAAGGGAAACCAGAGTGACTCTACCAACACAAAGATTCAGTAACACACCATTGGGCCATGGAGAAATCAGAAAGGAAGACTTAAAATTGCACATTTAAGCAAGAAAATAATTGATAATTATTTTAATTATAAAATAATTTTAATTAAAATTTTAATTATATACGTCATGTTTCACCAGCAATTATTTCATAATATTCATCTAGTAATTACAAATTAGTTGTTTCAAAAGTTAAAAGGAAAACTTGTGTTTTTTTTTTTAAAAAAGAAGATTTTTTATAATAAGCCCAATTGCTTCAGTGGAGCTGCTAAGTAAGCAACTAGGCAACATAGTAATTTGAAAATTGTTTTCTATTTATAAAAATACACACAGAAGAAAAAATCAAACATATACACAGAATTTTAGTTTCTAGAATAACTAAATGGACTTTTCTTCAGACAATATTTATTCAGGATGGAAACATTTATAAATAATTTCTTAAAAACATGTGAATTCTGAGCCAGGCAGTGGTGGCACACGCCTTTAACCCCAGCACTCGGGAGGCAGAGACAGGTGGATCTCTGTGAGTTCAAGGCCAGCCTGGTCTACAAGAACTAGTTCCAGGACAGGCTCCAAAGCTACAGAGAAACCCTGTCTCTACCCCCCACCCCCATCCCAACACCAAAAACAAAACAAAACAAAACAAAACAAAAAAACAAAACACAAAAAAACATATGAATTCTGTACTGCCAATAATCAGACAAAGAACATCTGGCATTTTATGCATTGGTATTTTTAAACCTGCTCTTATCAAAATGGTGGTCTCTTAGTTTTTAAAATCTAGGGTAGCCACACCTGGAGTAACTCTTACCTAGGCTGACTCTTTCAGACTTCTCGTCTCTCTTCTCTTTATATTCAAGAAGGATTTTCATATTGCTTTGTAAAAATGATAATTAAAGTCAATACCGATGTAAAAATCATTTGTTCAGTGTGTTAAAATTTTCATGGTATTGCCCCATAAAGCCTCAACTGCTAAGCACCCCAAGCCTTTACGTCTAAGTGTGTGCTGTGAGAAGACCCCAGACTGGATCAGCAGGAACAAACTGGCAGCTGGATGTCTTCCTGGACTTCAGTGACAGCTTTCATGGCAGCCCTGAAGCAGGAGACTCAATGAAAACAAGCGCCCCCCCCCCACTTCCCTGCTCCATCTGACATTGGTCTTGAGCAAACCACTAGCTTCCAGGGACATTTAAGCAGGTGGTTGTGGAAAATGGATTCTGATGGAAAAAGCACTTTAATGCTAAACTCGACCTTTTAGACTCAAATCGATCATTAGAATAGATCTAACAGGATCAAGAGACTCAGCTGTGGCACTATTTCTACTCTGTTCTATAGGGGAATACTTGGGATGAATAGTGCTGGGACTTCCAAGAATAAAGATCTTAAAAGTCCTAGGACAGAGGCTGGTGGTAAAGTTCAATGTAGAGCCTGGCATGCGTGCAATTCCCAGTACCGCCAAAACAAAAACCAAACTAAACAAAACAATGGAGGTCCAAGCTCATGAATCTGTCACTCCCTGCTACCTCCAGGGTGGCCTTTGCTTGGGACCTGCTAACGAATATAGACTAACTCCTTGTCTTTCTAAAGCTACCTAACTGAGTCAGAAGCTCGCCCTGAGGTATAAGGTGCACTATTGTAATTTATTTTGAACTTCCGTTTAATAGTAACTAGCATTTAATGTAAGCACTTACGCATAATATTTAAAATTATCAGCATAATCGATTGCAGTCAATCCAAAGGCGTCTTTCCAAAAGAGGTCTACACCTTGCTGAAGAATAAATCTGACTATATCTGTTGAGTCATGACTTATAGCATGCATGAGGGCTGTTCTGAAAAAGCAGAGAGATAATGCCACTCTTACTACTTGAACAAAATGAAGGACTAGTTTGCTATACTTTTTTCTATTTATTGTCTAAGTAGAATTGGCTATTAACGGATAACAGCCAAGCAACTTGAGGTCTTGAGACTTTAAGAAAATAAAGTACGGAGCCTCCCACACCCCTGTGTCAACTCATCATAGATGCTGCTAACTTAAAGCCCTTTGGTGGGCAATAACTACACCAAGGGCATGTGTCCGGGGTTGGTAAAATTTAAATGAAGAACTCTCATCAGGTGTGATGGTGCATGCCTGGGATCGCAGTGCTTAGGTGGCTGAGGCAGGATTGTGAGGTTGAGTCCAGTTTGGACCGCGTAAGGAGTTCTAGGCAAGCCTGCCATACAAAGCTAGACTGTCTCATTAACAAATGAACCAAAGCAAACCACCAAAGACAGTCTTTTCTCCACTTCATGTGTAATGTGCTAAGATGCATTATATATATATATTTCCCAGGCGGTGGAAGGGCACATAAGAAAAAGCTACTTGCCGGCCTCAAAGCATATCATCCATGAATGGCGGTACACACTTGTCATTCCAGCACTAAGGAGGCTGGTGTGGAAGGATCACTGCAATTTCAAGGTAATCTTGGCCAACAAAGTGAGACCAACCTGAGCTACATAGTAAGACCCTGTCTCAAAGGAACAACAGTTAACACAGCAATAATTGCCATAGTGACAGTCAGTGATTTGAGCTGCAGATGCTCGCTAGGCACAGACTAAATGCTACATACAGAAACCTTCCATCAGCAACTTTAGGATCACTGATCCTGCTCTTCACAGCGGGGACATGGTTAGTTAGTGGTAAGTAGTGTTCCTAAAGTCACACACATGGCAAGTGGGGAAGCCAGGAATAGAACCCAGATTTATGGGACTCTGCAGTCAATCACTTTTGCTTTTACACGACCTCTTTGTCTTCATGAAAGGTTTATCCAAGTATAGCTCATTTTCTACCCCACGCCAATGCCAACCCCGAATAAAAACGTCCAGGAATGTTAAAAATAAAAAAATGAAGAAAAATAAAAAACATCTGGAACTAAGAACTAATAGCCATTTAGGGTTAATATGGTTGAATGTTTTTCAGACTATAAAAGGACAGTTCTTTGAAGGAGTCATTCCAAAGACAAAACAATTTTAACTCCTGTTTCTGCTTACTCTGGCTTTAAAAGCAAAGTGTATAAAAAACAGAGGTAAAAATGCTATGAAAAGATTTAGAATTTCAATATTGAGGCAAAAAAATGAACTGCGTCTTTATGTTATCAAAGTGGAATAAAATTCATGGAATCTCCAGCTTCTAATTTCCAAACATCAATAAATATGTAAGGGGCATATGCTGTAATATACATGGTTCTTTGTGCTGTCCCTTCTGAATAATTCCTTTTCTGTATAGCACTGATGATTTGTGTTGGGTTCTCATTAAATCTCAATTATTATAACTTGTTCTATTTTCTATTAATTCAATATTTCTGAGTACTTGTTACCACTGCACACTACCACTAAGGTTTAGAGGATTATAATACCTTTTCCGGTTATCAGTTGCATGCACATTAGCATTCTTCATTGATAAAAATTTTGCCATCTTCAGTTTGTTTTCACTGACAGCCAGTAAAAATGGCGTGAAGCCACTCTGTAAAATGACAAAAAGCATTTAACTCACAAAAATCAAATATTTGTCAGTTATGTTGAAAAAAAATGTAGAAAAGCTCTCTGGATACAAACACATGATGAGGACACAGAGAATATAATTACTGTGCCTCCTACCCCATGTACCATGGGAGCCCCAGTCTTCTCCAAATGCACACACTCTGTCTCCAAGAGTGTTTGATTACGATGTTTACCAAGACAGTCATGTGCCTGCTCCCATGTAAACCATGTAAACCCACATATTGTTTTATGTTAACAAGATGTTTATGTTCCTCAGATTCTAAACTACAGTAGTGAAGTTAGTGAGCTATGCCATCATCTCCAGAACAGGGGTTCTAAATTTACCTTTCAAAGAATATCTACTTCTCTAGAAATGCAGAGTCTCACAGAAAAGTAGTAATATTCCTCTGGGAACTATTATATGACTGTATATTATACACCCAGTATTAAGAAAATCTTTTTATCTTTGCTCAATCCCTACTTGAAGAGTACAGTTGTGAAGTGGAATTGGCTTTAGAGGAAGTGTGGCCTTCTGGATACACTGCAGAGAGCTTTCTAATGATGCGGGAGTTCACTCCAGGTTGCTAAGGAGTCTTGTTTGCTTCTCTTCTTTTATGGTATCAGGATCCCAGATGCAAACATATCAGGCATTCCTTCTGCAAGAGGCTCATAAGAAATGGCTTCTGAATTAAAAGACCTTGGCTTCAAAGAAACTTTGGTTATGACTAAGTGGTTTGCTATTAGAAAGCTTAATATAAGGGGAGATGGTTCAGTGGATAAGGTTCGTGAGGACCTGTGTCCAGACCCCCCAGTGCCCATATAAAATCCAGATGTGGCAGTACATGCCTGTAATCCCAGTACTGGGAGGTAGAGAGAGGCAGGAGGATCCCAGGGGCTCACTGGTCAGTAAAAATAGGAGGAAAACAATAGAGGAAGACACCTGGTGGGCAACTCTAGCCTTTACGTGTGCACACACGTGCATACATACTCAAAACCAAACACAAAATTTTATTCCTATAATGACAATTCTGAGATCATATTTCACAAGAATTTTCATATATCTCTGTGCAATGTCTACATTCTAAAACTCAATCCCACTTATAAGAGACTAATGTTAAATACTGATGATCTTGTTACTTAATTATTTAAGAAACTGTGCTGTTTATCAAAACAGTGTATATCAAGAGCTGTAGAGTGAAATTTGCTTGGAGGAGCAGAGCAAGTGACATGGAGCTGGGCCATCTGGAGCCTGTGGCACATGTGTGCCTCTCACGCAGGGAGCCAGGTCCTCAGCATAGGTATAAAACAGTCACGCGGACTCAGAGCTGTGTCCTCCACATACGTGCAGTCACACAAGCCGCGCGTTGTGTCCTCAGCACAGGTGTAAACAGTCAAACAGCTTCCCCTTTCTGCTTTGGGGTTTTGGTTCAAAGGAGAAAAAAAAAACAAAAAAGTCACTAACTGGAAATTGCACTCAGTCTTTTTGTTCAGGGTCTAAACAGAGACAGGTCAATTCAAATTGAAACTTCACTTCATTGTGTAAATTCTGGAGAGATATTGCATATTTGAGAATTTACAGTTTTATCCCAGTGGCTCTTCCTGCCAGAAATGTCTAACAGGTCAGGGAAACACTAGTTCTTCACCCTGGTTTCCTACTTAATCATCACCAAGTCGTCAACCCGGCTTCCTCAGCACCATCCTGAAACTGACTTCTTCACCTAGTTAGAACTTCATGAATTTCTTCCCAAACTGAGGTGCCAAGATTGAGCATCCCTTTGACGCACAGCTGGGGAAATTGCAACGATGTTGGTCTTTCGCCCAGTTGCCTTGTTTCTGAACTGACCTGTGCATCTCTGATTCATTCCCACTCCAATGTGTCCTTTCTAGTCTTAGCAAAGAGAGAGAAGTCTCTGATATAACTTGTGTCCAACTACAAGATTTCTTCTTGTCAAATGCTTTAGCTCTGAGTTTTAAGGTAAAGCCCATAGGCAAGGTACACGATGCTTGCCTGCGTTGGTTTGCAATGGGCAGAAAAGCTAGATTTACCTTCAACAGTACAATGTTTTCACAAATATTTACTACGAATGTATACAAGAAGACTGTGCCCTCTGATACTTCCTTCAAAGTATCAACACTTAAAGAGCTGATATTTGGAGGCAGACTGCAGTGGCACATGTCCTTCATCTCAGCTCTCAGGATGTGGAAGCAGGTGGATCTCTTTCTGAGTTCGAGGCCAGCCTGGTCTACACATTGAGTTCAAGGCTAGTCAAGGTATAGAGCGAGACCTTGTTGAGAAGGGGACAGGTCATCCCAGGTACACTTGAGCTTCTCAAGATGGAAGATGGTACTTGTGTGTCTGTAGACAAGGCTTCTCCACACACTTTACAGATACAGTGGGTCAATGGACACCTTTCTTATGTATGATCTCTACCTTATTCTTCTCTTCAATATTCACTTCATGTTCAAGCAGTCTTGCAGCAAGGAATGTATTCTTATAATAGACAGCATAGTGGAGAGCGCTGTTGCCCCGGGCATCCACAATATTTGGGTCGGCACCGTTCTCCAGCAGGATGGTGGCACATTCTTCTTCCTGACATTGCACAGCCTGTTGGAGTTGCACCAAGAAACAGATCACAGCTTCAAAGAACTGAAGATAAACATCTTACAGGATTCACTGTCTGTTTTTTTTGAAACGAACACAGAGTCCTTCCCATTGCAGGCATTTTAATCAAGGCCATCTCATGCTGAGGTCCTTAGCTGCTACGTACCTTCACCAGACCTGTGCATTTGTCACTGTCAATGGCGTCCACCTCACACTTTCCTTCGATCAGGGCCTTCACTACTTTTGGGTGGCCGTAAGCGCAGGCAATGTGGAGGGCGGTCCTGTGAAAATGGAGGGAAGGCTTTTTAGGAAATTATACAGCATGACCTGAAAAATTCAGCCACTCAGGTGATTTTAGACATTAAATCACATGCAACTCCTCTGTCTTCAAATAAAATATTTATGGAGTGCTTTCCTAGTGTCTTGACATATAGTACCACATAGACTAGATGTGGTGGTAGCACCCTGTCCTACAGTGCCACATAGACTGGGTGTGGTGGTGAATGACTTCAGGCTAGCCTTGAAGAAGTGAAAGCAGGAGGATCAGAAGTTCAGGCATCCTTTACTACATAGCAAGTTTGAGGCCAGCCTGGGCTACATGAGACCTCATCTTAAAGAAAAAAAAAGCTTAAATATTTAATTTTCTTCCACAGAAGTTATATTTATTGCTAATGATCCTTATTCCAATGAAACTACAGTGTATTTGGATGAAAGGGGTGCGTGTGTGTGTACAGGTATGTGTGTATTTTAAGCATTGTACAGGTTAGGTTTTTGTTAATTTGGCATAAGCTAGCATTATCTGGAGGAGAAATCTCAATGCAGAAAATGTCCCCAGTAGATTGGCCTGTAGTCAAGTCTGTGGGGGCACTTCCCTAATTAATGATTGATGTGGGTGGTGCCACCCCTGGACAGATGGCCCTGGAGATGTAAGAAAACAGACTGAGCAAGCTGTGGAAAGTGGTATTCCTCCTTGTCCCCTGCTTCGACTCCTGCCTCCAGCTTCCTGCCCTGACTCCTCCCAGTGATGGAGTGGGACCTGGAGTTATAAACCCTCTCCTCCCCTAATTGCCTTTGGTCATGGTGTTTATCATACCAAGGGGAAGCTAACTGGCCACACAGGTTAGACAGGCGCTCTCCCATGGAGCTCTGTCCCAGCCCAGAGTGGATAACTTGAAAGGAGAAAAGGTGTCCTTTGTAATTAGCTCCACTTGGGTTTGATTCTTGCCTTAAGCTCTGTTACTCACTATGTCTTTTTCCTTTCCAGGCCTCAACGTTTCTATCAGTAAAATGGGCACTGAAGCAGTGGCTGTTTCCTAAGACCCTCGTATGTTTGGATGAGAACCATATGAAGTGGTTTGAAAAGTTTCCAGCGCAAGCAACAACTCGATGCTTGTCAGGTGCTGTAGTTATCACTACTGCGACGGCTTAGAAGGACAGCGTTTCCAGGAACTGGCAGTCACTCCCATCCTGCATGCTTTAAGGACTGACTCTGTCTAGAGTGTCCTTTCCTCACAGTGAATGTCTCTGGAGCTGGAGTTCAAGTTATAACTCCTGACATGCTGTAGCTTTTGTCTGGTAGCATTTGGACCGTTTCTTAATACACAGAATAAAGAGAATAAAGGTCTCATGGAGCTCATGGTGCCCCACACTTGACGAAATATGGTATTTTTCGTAGGTCCACGGAAGATCTAGCCATCTGCTTGGCAATTGCATAAATTTTAGTTCTTAAAAATACCATGGGCAAAGAGTTCTGAATAACAACAAAAACCATTTTTCCTTTGATTTTTCAAGAAACTTTAAGCCAAGAAAACTCCTCAAAAAAGGAGGCCTAGCTCCTCCTTTGAATATTCAGATAAATATGTTGTATGAAAGTCATATATTCCCAAGGACTTAGGCTGGTATTTAATGCTGACCTCAAATTTCAAATGATCAATGAAAGAATGTTTTAATTTGAAGGAAGGAGAAAAGGCTAAGCTGAGCTCTGTTACCTCCCTTTTACATATTCCACTTTGTCAGCCTCAGCAGGGAAACTCAAAGGCTCTCAGGAAGAAAGTGTGCTGAGAGATAAAATACATCCTCTACCTATTTGGCGTTTAGGATGCTTTCAGTGAGCGAATGTATGAAGGGATGGAATAAATACAGATGGGGAAGTTAACACATTTTAGGGATATCTTTGGGAACTGTTGCAGTGGTGGTGATTGGTGGTGGTGATTTTGTTTTCATAAACATGCAACTAAAGTGGAGTTATTAACCTAGAGTTGTTTGCAAATATGCAATAAATCTCTATATAAAGCATGCATGCATATCATGCAATGTGGTCTCCATAAAGTCCATAAATATACTCCCCTTGCGTTGAAAGACAGTGTTAGCAGAAACATCAATTCAAGCCTATGGCACACTCTCTGAGAGAAGTGAGGAATCTTGCCTGAGAAGGGTTCTTATTCCCGTTCTTCCCAAGGGTCGCTATAATGATAAGTGTTTACTACAACTTTAGTGCATGTTCATTCTAGAATTCAAGGTAAGGAGGAAAGAGCAAGTGTGTGGGTAACTTCCTTCAAAATCAACTGCACACTGCGCTCTGGTCCCTGGGATAAGACTCTGCAAAGACCAACATACAGAATTAATGCAGGAGTATCTTCTAGTTACGAAACCAAGCTACGTGCAAACAGAAAGAGAACTGACTCCTCTGAGAACTGGAACCATAACTAAGAAATTAAAGCTGAAATTTGCATGTACGTTTTAGATGCATGAAAATAATTTTTAGAGCAACTTGTCATTGCTTTGGCTGGCACAGGAGCAGATATTTGTGTGTATGTGTGGCCTTTCAAAGTGATGTTCTTCTCACTTCGTACCCCAAGTACACCTTCCCCCTGTGCAAACCTCGACCCATTTCTATGCTGTTGCCGAAGCTCCATCTTTCTCTATCCTATGGATGCAATGAGGTGTATTTGTAAAATGTGTTCTGTTGGTTATTTTTAAACACATGCCTTTTTAAATAATGATGATAAACAAATTGCATGCACACTCCATTATTTCCTAAAGATATTTCAACATGGTTAAGTACATAAAAAATCCCTTCTCTTACCAGGGTCACTAAATATTTTTCTATGTCCATATAGCATATGTCCATATGTCCATATATGTTTCTATGTCTATATATGTCCATATAGCTCGGATATTGTAGATATCCAAGCCTGTACTTTACTCAATTTTTAGTTATAATTCTAGGGCTTGAAGTAGAGTGTTTTTGCTAGCATGGCAAGGCCCTGGCTGCTTTCCAAAGCATAAATAAGTATGAATAATTAAGAGTTTAGTGTTTTCCTTGACTTGAAAAAGTTCCCTATAAGATGAAGGTATATTTTCCATTTGAGACATAAGTAGTAAATATTTCATGTCCGGAGGCTTTCTTGCGCACAAACCCCGCCCCCTCCACAGCCCCTCCCCTCTTGGGCCCTGACACCTCTTCTTCTTGTCTCTGTCGTTCACACCGCACTTCCCAAGCAGGAGCTGCTGCAGTCTGGATGCATCCCCGTCACGGGCAGCCTTGTGGATCTTTCTCAGATCCTTGTCTTTGAGGCAATACTTGGGCGAGAGGAGGATATTGGTACTCTCAAACCCCTTGCCCAGGGAGTGCCGTTGCTGGTCGCGCAAGGACTGTAAGAGTTTCTGGCTTTTCTTGTAAGATAAGCTAGCCACTTTCGACATGGCCCAGGCTGCTGGACCCAGAGGTCCCTTCCCTCTGTCTTCTGTGTCCCATCCCCGACCCCGATGCCCAACAATGTGATAGATCGCTTCTGGAGAAGCTAACAGCCACAGCGCGTGCAGTGGCCACGGAATCCCAACTGAGAAGTTCTATGGTTTGGGATTGCTTAAAGGTTAGCAGGTGCGGGTGCGGTTGGGTAGCAACTCTGCTACACCAGAGCACACCTGCTCTGGTCCTCAGTTGTCACAGCCAAGTGGCCAATGGTGCTCAGTGAGCATATGCAGTTCCGGTCCTGCCAAAGCCCTACTTTCAAAGTTAAGCAAAGGAATTTGAATTACAAAACCAGATCTCCACATTATCTCTGGAGAGTCAAAGGAATGGAGTGACAGCCGGGGTTATCACCACCAAATCCTCATCACCCAGAGCATCAGGAGACCCCTGACCTCTGGAGACGACCATGACCTTAAAATACTGTCGTTAGCAGGGGCATGTAATACACGGCCTGCATGCTAGTAAATTCAAGATGTTCATCTGTCTCTTGACTAAGGGGCATGGGTTTTTGGAAGCACTGAGCCTGACAATGCCCTTTGCAGAAAAACAGACTATAAAGATGTACACTTTGGACAAACAGGCCGTAGTTGTCGGGGGCCACAGCAGCAGACAGGAGCATTGGTCAAAATCTGCACAGATAAGAGCGACAACCAGGGCTGCTTGCACTGCAGGCAGGGGCTGGAGGAAGCCACTCACACCCGGTTGTGCCTCCACACTATCCAGAGCAGGACTCACTGCCAGGTGGGTGGAAGTCTTGGTATACTGTCATGGCGATGGGACCCGCAGCATGACTTGAGGTGTACTCCAGCCAGGCCTCATTAATTTGGAATGAGAAGGACATTTAGATTATTCTGGTTTGGGTCTCTACCTCTGTTTCAATCAGTTGCTGGATGAAGGTTCTATGGTGATATTTAAGATATTCATCAGTCCGACTTCAGGGCAAGGCAAGTTCGGGCCCCCTCTCCTTTATTGATTAGGGTCTTAGCTGGGGTCATCTTTGTGGATTTCTGGGAATTTCTCTAGTGCCAGGTTTTTTGTTAACCCTTTAATGCCCACCCCCTTCAAAATATCTCTTTCCTTCCTCCATCTCAACTATCCTGTTCCCTTAAGTTCTCCTTCCCACTCCCCTCATTTTCCCATTCTGTCCTCCCTACTTCCCTCATCCCCTGTGTTCCCAATTTTGTCATGAGATCTTTTTTTTAGCAATTTCTAGAATTAATATTTTATTTTTTAAATTTTTTTTAAGTTTATTAAATTATAAAAGTTTCCATTTCCGCCCCTCCTCCCAACACCCTCCCACTTTCCCCACTCCCTCTCCTCCTCCCTCTCCATCCCTAAGAGTAGTCAGGGTTTCCTGCCCTGTGGGAAGTTCAAGTTCCTCCCCCCTCCCTCCAGGTCCAGGAAGGTGAGTATCCAAACAGACTGGATCCCCAAAATCCAGTATATGCAGAGGAAACAAGTCCCAGTGTCATTGTCAATGGCTTTTCAGAAAGACTCCGGGCCTGCCATATCCAGGGAATCCGGCAACATTCAGAGAATCTGGTTAGATCACATGCTCATTCAGTTCCAGTCCAGCTGGCCTTGGTGAACTCTCATTAGATCAGTCTCCTTGTATCAGTGGGTGATGGCGCGCGTCGCAGTCCTGATTTCTTTTTTCATTTTCTTCATCCTTCTGCTCCTCATTTGGACCGTAGAGGGTTCCGTCCGGTGCTCCAATATGGGTCTCCGTCTGTATCGCCATCCAATGTCGGATGAAGGTTTCCTCTGCTCTTGCCCTCCTTGTTCACGTTCTCCTTCCTTCTGCCTCTCGTTTGGACCTAGGGAGCAAAATGTTCATCAGTATGGTTGTGGGCCAAGGCCGGTTCAGGCACCCTCTCCTCTGTCCAGAGAACAATCTGGGGATCTCTCCTTGGACCTGGGATCCCCTTTATACTCAAGTCTCTTGTAAACCATCAAAATGACTCCCTTAGTTGAGGTATATACTTCCCTGATCCCATATCTATCCATTCTCCCTCCCCCCCATCCCAGTCCCCCGATTTTTCCCCATTCCTCCCCTACTCCCTTCTCTCTAACCCTCTCCCTTTCCAACAGCCTCCCCACCCCCCCATGCACCCGAGGTTACCTGGCACTCTTGTCTATTTCCAATCTCCAGGAGGATAGCTACATGATTTTCGTCAGGTTCACCTTCTTATTTAGCTTCTCTAGGATCACGAATAATAGGCTCAAAGACCTTTAATTACGGTTAGAATCCACTTATGAGTGAATACATACCATATTCCTCTTTTTGGGTCTGGCTTACCTCACTTAGTAAAGCGTTTTCTATTTCCATCCATTTGCATGCAAAAGTCAAGATGTCATTGTTTTTTACCGCTGAGTAAAACTCTAATGTATATATGCTCCACACCTTTATTAACCATTCTTCTATTGAGGGGCACCTAGGTTGTTTCCAGGTTCTGGCTATTACAAATAGTGCTGCTATGAACATAGTTGAACAAATGCTTTTGTAGTATGTTAGGGCATCTCTTGGGTATATTCCCAAGAGTGGAATTGCTGGGTCCTGAGGGAGGCTGACTCCCAGTTTCCTGAGAAACCGCCACACTGATTTCCACAGTGGCTGCACAAGTTTGCATTTCCACCAACAATGGATGAGTGTTCCCCTCATTCCACATCCTCTCCAGCATAGGCTATCATTGGTGTTTTTGAGTTTGGCTATTCTGACAGGTGTAAGATGATACCTCAAAGTTGTTTTGATTTGCATTTCCCTGATTGCTAAGGAGGTTGAGCATGACCTTAAGTGCTTTTTAGCCATTCAAAGTTTATCTGTTGTGAATTCTCTGTTCAGTTCAGTACCCCATTTTTTAATTGGGTTAATTAGAGTTTTAGTGTCTAGTTTCTTGAGTTGTTTGTATATTTTGGAGATCAGACCTTTGTCTGTTGAGGGGTTTGTGAAGATCTTCTCCCAGTCAGAAGGTAGCCTTTTTGTCTTCCTGACAGTGTCCTTTGCTTTACAGAAGCTTCTCAGTTTCAGTAGGTCCCATTTATTTATTGTTTCTCTTATTGCCTGCGCTCCTGGGGATCTGCTTAGGAAGTGGTCTCCTGTGCCTATGTCTTGTAGACTACTTCCTACTTTCTCTTCTATCAGGTTCAAAGTGGTCAGATTAATGTTGATGTCTTTAATCCATTTGGACCTGAGTTTTGTGCATGGTGATAGATATGGATCTATTTTCATTCTTCTACAGGTTGACATCCAGTTATGCCAGCACCATTTGTTAAAGATGCTATCCTTCTTCCATTGTATAGCTTTAGCTCCCTTGTCAAAAATCAGGTGTTCATACATTTGTGGGTTAATACCTGGGTCTTCTATTCGATTCCATAGGTCTACTTCTCTGTTGTTATGCCAATACCAAGCTGTTTTCAATACTGTTGCTCTGTAATAGAGTTTGAAGTCAGGGATGGTAATGCCTCCAGAAGTTCCTTTATTGTATAAGATTGTTTTGGCTATCCTGGGTTTTTTGTTTTTCCATATAAACTTGATTATTGTTCTCTCCAGGTCTGTGAAGAAGTTTGATGGGATTTTGATGGGAATTGCATTGAATCTATAGATTGCTTTTGGTAGAATTGCCATTTTTACTATGTTGATTCTCCCAATCCAAGAGCAGGGGAGGTCTTTCCATTTTCTGGTATCCTCCTCAATTTCTTTCTTCAAAGACTTAAAGTTCTTATCAAATAGGTCATTCACTTCCTTGGTTAGAGTTACCCCAAGATACTTTATGCTATTTGTGGCTATCATGAAAGGTGATGTTTCTCTGATTTCCCTCTCTGCTTCTTTATCCTTTGTGTATAGGAGGGCTACCGATTTTTTTGAGTTGATCTTGTATCCTGCCACATTACTAAAGGTGTTTATCAACTGTAGGAGTTCTTTGGTAGAGTTTTTGGGATCGCTTATGTACACTATCATATCGTCTGCAAATAACGAAAGTTTAACTTCATCCTTTCCAATTCGTATCCCCTTGATCCCCTTATGTTGTCTTACTGCTATTGTTAGAACTTCAAGCACTATATTGAAGAGGTATGGAGAGAGTGGACAGCCTTGTCGTGTTCCTGATTTTAGAGGAAAGGCTTTGAGTTTCTCTCCATTCAATTTGATGTTAGCTGACGGCTTGCTGTATATTGCTTTTATTATATTTAGGTATGATCCTTGTATCCCCAGTCTCTCCAACACCTTTATCATAAATGGGTGTTGAATTTTGTCAAATGCTTTTTCAGCATCCAATGAAATGATCATATGGTTTTTTTCTTTCAGTTTATTTATATGATGGATTACATTGATAGATTTGCGTATGTTGAACCAGCCCTGCATCTCTGGGATAAAGCCCACTTGATCATAATGGATAATTTTTCTAATGTATTCTTGGATTCGGTTTGTCAGTATTTTATTGAGTATTTTTGCGTCAATGTTCATGAGTGAGATTGGTCTGTAATTCTCTTTCTTGGTCGTGTCTTTGTGTGGTTTTGGTATCAGGGTAACTGTAGCCTCATAAAAAGAGTTTGGCAATGATTCTTCTGTTTCTATATTGTGGAATACATTAAGGAGTATAGGTATTAGCTCTTCCTGGAAGTTCTGGTAGAATTCTGCATTGAAACCATCTGGCCCTGGGCTTTTTTTGGTAGGGAGATTTTTAATAACAGCTTCTAATTCTTCACGACTGACAGGTCTGTTTAGATTGTTCACCTGGTCTTGGTTCAACTTTGGTATATGGTACTTATCTAAAAAAATGTCCATTTCTTGTACATTTTCCAACTTTGTGGCATATAAATTTTCGTAGTAAGATCTAATGATTCTCTGAATTTCCTCTGCGTCTGTGGTTATGTCCCCTTTTTCATTTCTGATCTTATTAATTTGCATGTTCTCTCTCTGCCGTTTGATTAATTTGGATAGGGGCTTGTCGATCTTGTTGATTTTCTCCAAGAACCAGCTTTTTGATTCATTGATTCTTTGGATTGTTTTCTCTGTTTCTATTTTGTTGATTT